CCCGCCTGGCCGCGGTGCTGTGCAGCCTGCTCTGGGTGACCCTGCTTGGGCAGGGGGTTGGACTGGGTGACCCACAGAGGTCCCTTCCAACCCCCACCATTCTGTGATTCTGTGATCACTAAAGAGACCAGAATAAATGCCAGCACTCCATGAGCAATTCCCACCCGTCACCACCCAGTCCACACAACCCCTGACAGGAGCCAGCCTGCTGCTGCATTTTGTGTTTCTGAGCGCAGCCAGGCCCCCCTCCTACCTCTGCGTCTTGAGATTTGGCAATGTCCACCAGCGTCTTCGCAGCCGGATGGACTACATCGAGGAGCTTCAGGATGGTGGCACCATCGTTGGAGATCGTGGCTTTGCCTAGGATTGATGTAGAAGAGGAACTCAAGCTTGACTGCCGCGAGTAAAGCCCTGGTCCCTCTGAGAGGGCACCCAACACGCAAGGGAGGTTTTCAGACCTCAGGGAGACTTTAATACAACAGTAACTTCAGACCAGCCCATCTCCCTGTGCTTCACCACTTCACCTCGGGTTAAATGTTGCCCAAAACTGTTACGAGGCTACAGTGGTCAAGTCCTGACCCAACCCCACCGTGAATTTTGTCACCTCTAAGCAATGACAGCCTCTCATCCCAAATTCCCACTTTGAAGTAAAATGACTGGTTTTTTTCTCCTCTGTGATTTGAAATGTGATCACCACAATATTTTGATGCACTCCTACAACGAAGTACGCAACTATAAATTGGCTGAAAAGGAAAGCACGGGGGTCACCCCCACGGAGAGGGGGAGCCCAGAACTGCTGTTTCACACAGGGTGTCTCAGCAGGTGCCTCCACTACTGTTAAACGCCTGTTAGTCCATTTTTGGAGCAGATTAAGCGAATTCAGCCTGTGTGCACAACTCTCCACACCAACTAACAGGGGCTTTAAGTTCATTTCCCTCTTGCCTCTGAGTACCCTCCCCAGACAGATAAAAGCAGATACTCTAGACTGAAACTCACGTGAAGGAAGAGACTAGAAATCAATCCTATTCGCTATCAGGTAAAGTTTAATCCAATGATCTTTTTTTAGTAGAAATTATTACAGTTTCTGTTTGTAAAAGCTATTTAATGACATTTCTAAGACCTTCTACCCCACCCTTCAGTACCAGCAATAAAAAAACTACAAACAATACATTTGCTTGGTGACTTTATACAAGTCTTTCCAGAGGGGGGACAAGTCTCATCCCTAAATCATACCAAAATAAACCTCAACTCAGTAACGTCCGCCAGACTCACGCTCAGCCACAACCACCACAGAGTAACTCCACACATATTATGAACCTCATTTAAAAAATAAATAAATAGAGATGGTCAGGGATAGCTGAGGACCAGGTTCAAGATACCGCTTCTCCTCTCGGCATGGACTTTCTCCCATCCAGTCCCACTAACCCTGGAAGTACCTAATCTCACTGCAAAGACCAGAGCTGCCTTGACTCAGGCTAGCAGGCGGCAAACAGGCAGGTCCTCAGGTAGGTCTGACAATCACCTCCTCTTCAACAGTGCAAGCCAGAGTCAAGGTGTTAAACCGGACACTCAAACAGAAGCTGAACCTCTGTCCCGAGAGTTAAGCTCAGTATGAGGCGAGGAAGGTGAAGCCTGCGTATGTGCAAATGCTGCTTTTAACTGATATGAAAATATGAGTGGATGTGCACGCTGCCAGCATGCACTGCACTTGGAGATTTCCCCCTCTGCTCTGCCCTGGGGAGGCCCCATCTGCAGTCCTGTGTCCAGTGCTGGGCTCCCCACTTCAAGAAAGATGAGGAGCTACTGGAGAGAGTCCAGCGCAGGGCTACGAGGATGGTGAGGGGACTGGAGCATCTCTGCTACGAGGAGAGGCTGAGGGAGCTGGGCTTGTCCAGCCTGGAGAAGAGAAGGCTGAGAGGGGGCCTTAGAAA